CCTTTAAAAACTCATGCAGCAGTTGCATCTCAAAAGGCCTTAAGGGAAGGTTTTGTTACATTTTAAGGCGTAACCTTTGACATTTCGTTGAACCAGAGGCATCAATCTGCATCTGCTCTCCGAGACGGTTCCAACAAGACCAAGCTCAAAGCTGTCGGACCTTCCTTTGTGCCGTAAAGGGCACCGTGCGGCATGAAAATTTGACCTCTGACCTCAGTTTTGACCTTGTCGAAGGTCACAGGGTACCCACATTTTACCCAAGGCGATTTTATTTTAAAAGACAATGAAGGCAGGTTATATTGATTGATATATTTATTATATTGAAAGCCAAATTAATACATAGTCCCCTGAATCTGGAATAACGTACAATTTACAGCCTTACACTGTCAGGAACTTTTCATCTACAGATTGCTTTGGTCTGGTTTTGCTCTTCACTGATTGGTTACTGAGACTTTGAATTTAAACGGACCTCCCCGTTTATAAAACGGACCTCCCCGTTAATCCGCGCGAATAAACGCGCGAATTGTGACGCAAATGGCTTTCCATACTCGCGGGCGCAGAGCCGCTCGCGGGGGTTTAATCTGCGCGCGAGGGTCATTTTATGCTTGTTTTACATGCTAGAATATTGACCCAAATTTGACTCCATACAACCTCAAAGTACACCATGTAGCGAGTAAACTCTAACACAGAAAATACCTCCCCAAAACGCCTCGTTGGAGATACGTCACTGTCCATTTGATTCTTCCGGGTACATCATGATGTCATGTCGTCCCCGGAACGAAATGGACCAATCCGTGGAGCCGTTACGATGCGTCCGCGGAGCCGCTACGTTAAGCCCCCGCTGATTGGTCCAAATTGACCAATCCACGGACTTCCTCACACACTCAGTGCTGCAGGCAGCTCAGCTGATTTCTCCTCCCTGGCTGCAGGCTGATAACTACGGAGCCCCTAAAGCAGGGGTGGCCAACCAGTCAGAGGTTAAGAGCCACATTTTTTCTATGTTACTGCAAAGAGCCACATCAAACACACAGTCACTGATACCGCTTGTTTCAGTTTTTTGTTTTCTGGAGACAAGATTTCAACCACGTCACTGATGCATTTTTGTGGCATTGGGATATTTTTTTTTTTAAATCCTCTGGAGCAGAGAGAGGAGCTGTGGATTATTGTTATTGATTAATGCATCAGTGTTTCTTAGGGTCAAAAACACTAAACTCACAACTTAAAATGAAAGCGTTTAGTTTATTTAATAAAAGAGCACATGTTCAATGTGAAAAGTGACAGTAGTTATAGATTATTTGCAATTTGGTGCTATATATATATATTTTTTAAAAAGTATATATATATTTTTTTTAAACACCTTGAATTTCAGGAGGGCGCAGGGCTCCGTTGGCGGGGCGCAGCGCCCCTCCAAGACAATGGCAGGGGAAATACTGGATAATGTTTCATCAACGATAGGTTTCCCCCCCCCTCAAAGGTGATTGGTTCACTGCATCGCAGGTATTATTGTGATTGGCTCTTGGGCCACATCAAAATTATACGCGCTGTCATCCTCTCACACTGACACCACACATACACAACATACATAACACGGGACGAAAGTAACGGAGCGATTTTATCCGAGCCCAAACAACTTTGACCGGCCAAATTACGTCAGAATTATCAGCATTCAATACTTAACAGACCTACTAAATATCAGGTTTAACTGTCAGGAGTAGCTAGTGTTGTCACGATACCAACATTTTGGTTTTGATACCAAGTCAAGAATTGCGATTCCGATTCTTTTTCGATATTTTTTTAAAAAAAGGGAAACGGTCTTAAATGTAATTATTGTGCTTTATTTCACACCAGAACCATAACCATAACACAAACGTTTAAACAATGAGAACAATAAATAAAATAAATGACAAGAATTCGTATTAAATACAATTAATAAATGTCTTACAGACAGGCCTCGTGGTGTCCGTAGGCTTGCCCTCACTGTCAGAGATATGGCTCAAATACTTCCAAATTTCGCTCCTGGCGTCTTTTTTGTCAACAAGCCGAGGCGCAGCGGCAGTTGCACTCCCACTTGCAGCCATACTTCTCGTTTTCTCAGATGCTCTGGCAGCTAGCGCGTGCACGAGAGAGGGGAGGCACTTAGAGCGTGCTTGAGAGGGGAGGGACTTAGAGCGTGCTTGAGAGGGGAGGGAGTTAGAGCGTGCTTGAGAGGGGAGGGACTGCAGGCACGGCTGCAGTGCAGGGAGTGGAAGCAGAGCGCTGAACACACACGGCTCTTATTAAAACGGCGCTTTCTCACCGGAGTACTTTTCTCCGTCATTCTTAAAGTACCGATACTAATGAAACGGAGGAATCGTAACGTTTTTAACGGCAGGGTATCGCGGTACCTTTCAAGTATCGGTACACCGTGCAACACTAGTAAGGAGTCAGTGTCTCTCCCCCAAACTCACACATATAAAATTCGATATGAACTGAAGAGCCGCATGAAACTAGGCAAAGAGCCGCATGCGGCTCGAGAGCCGCGGGTTGGCCACCCCTGCGTCATGTAAAAAAAAAAAAAAAGCAGAGAGAAAAAAAAAGTCAGGATAACGAGTTAGTATCTCGTGCGCACGAGATACTAACTCGTTATCCTGACTTTTTTTTTACTAACTCGTGCGCACTTTTTTTTGTTGAGAAAGTTACCGGTGCACCAAGGAGGAAGTGAAGCGCACAGGAGACAACCATTTCATTGCAGACTGTTGTTTACGTGGGGAAATGACAGTGCATACATTATTTGAGATATATATCGTACTTAGACGGCTAGTGACGGGCGGCCCACTTTGGTATCGGCCCAATGGGATTCGTCCCGAACGTCCCGATGGCCAGTCCGCCACTGGCTCTGTGTGTGTGTGTGTGTGTGTGTGTGTGTGTGTGTGTGTGTGTGTGTGTGTGTGTGTGTGTGTGTGTGTGTGTGTGTGTGTGTGTGTGTGAAAAAAAATTAAGTCTGACTTCAAAATATATCTCAAATAATGTATGCACTGTCATTTCCCCACGTAAACATAACAGTCTGCAATGAAATGGGTTGTCTCGTGTTCCACTTCCTCCTTGGTGCATCGGTAAGTTTCTAAAAAAAATAATAAAGTCAGGAAAACGGATTTGTTTCTCGTGCGCACAAGAAACAAATCCGTTTTCCTGACTTTATTTGTTTTCTCTCTGTTTTTTTGTTTTTTTACCATGTCCCTTTAGGGGCTCCGTAGATAACAGACAGTTGGGATCGCGGCGAAATTCTCTCTGCAGACCCATTCTCACAGCGTTTATCAACCTTTTTCTTACTCAATATCAAGCCACACTTATTGTTTTTACTTCGGCTGTGACTTTGTGTGTGCTCAGGGTGAGTTTGGCTGTGTTTTGCTGTGTATCGCTAAACAAGGAAATCACACCTCCACGGAGCTCAGCGCGATTCACAAGGTCCCGACTGGTCCCGACCAATCGGAGCACACTGGGCTCACAGGGAGGGGGGGGCAAGAGCTGCAACAAGCCGTTTAGTGGAGAGAGTGAATACACGTAGTTTACAGAGATGCTGTATGTGAAACAATGTGAGTTTGGAAAATTGCACAGTATAAATCCATTCTAGTAGACCTCAACAATGGAATTATGATCAGTGGAAACGGCCATGACATGTGACCTTTAATTCATCAAGCGAAACATTTATTAAGCCTGCTGCTTTTATGTTTTTACTGCTTGTGCCCTGGACTAAATGTATTTACCGCACTACATTTTGCCAACCCTTAAGATTTCAGTCCTGGTTGCTTAGAATTTCTATTTGAGTGAAGACAATGATTTACCAGTCTTGCTGTAAATATATATAATTGAAATCACAAGCACCCTGTTTTAAAAGTGCAAATATATAGAAATTGTAATACTTTCATCAGTGCCTCACATGCTTAAACATATGTGTTACCTCCTTTGAGGATTGAGAGCAACTCAATTGACATTTATCTAAGCAAAACTATTCTGGATTGCCACTAAACGTATACTTCAAATACATTTTTCACATGTGTCTCTAATCATCCTCGTATGAGATTCATTAAAAATACAGAAGAACAAAATCTGACTAAAAGAAAATGTAGCAGTGAGCACAGAAATACCCAGAGGGTCCGTGTGGTAAAATAAAACATCTTTGTTCAAAATGTTTAATAACAAGCATGGCAACACACATGGCATAAGAACAATGCATGTTTAGAAAAATATATCTGCAAATGTATTTTTCAGAATATACTATACGTTCACTTAACCTCTACTCGATATTAAACATTTACAATTCAAAAAGTAATAGTTTCATTAGAGAGTCACGGTAGAAAACAACACGTTCAGTTTCTTCTATACTCTTTGTTTTCAGGATCAACTTACTGTACACCAGAAGAAAAGTTTAGGTAGACATTTTGATAAAACAGGCAAACAACCTGAGGTGTTTTTATTTATTTGGTAAAGCTCTAGCTTGTAATTGATGGTTGATACCAAACTCCCCTCTTTCTCAGACAAATTGTCCAATTATTGACAACAGCTTTTTTCCCAAGACAATAAAATGAAGGTACTACATTGACAACCTACATCCACTCAGATTCTTACCTAAAAAACATTTATTTTATTTTTGTAATTATTCATACTTATTCGGTTGTTTTTTCAATATGTCCAATACTGTGACATACTTAAAAAAGGTTCACTTTATAAAGTAGAATGTGTTGAAAAAATCACCAGTTCCCAGTAGTGGTGATCCAAGAGTCAAACTACCAGTTATTTTACTTAAAACCTCAAAGAATGATGCCAAAAAGGAAGAATATAAATGCTGAATTACTGAGTTCGAGTAAAAAAGGTTTTGAATTGGAGTCATTTTCCATGTTTGAGTAAGTGGTGGCTGTGTCTCCATGGCTTAAATACTGCTTGAGTCTCCAGTGCAGGCACCTGTTTGTGTTGAAGCTCTGTCCGAGTGTCTTTGAGGAGAACAGAAGGTCCTGAAGTCACGCTCAGTATCCCGCTGGATAGCCTCCTTTCCTGGGGTCGGACTCCGCACAGAGACGCTCCCCCTGCCGCACCACCGCCTGGACCACAGAGTCTGGAGTCGGCAGCAGCTGCGTGATGTGGTTCTTCTGGACCAGACCTTCCAGAACACTCTGCCATGGTATCATCATCACACAAACATATAGAGTACAATGCAGAGGGTTAAAGAGATGGCTCATGCCAAAATCAAAGATACCAACTCTTTCTTGTTATGCTATTTATCAATCCAGATTGTTTTGGTGTGAGTTGCAGAGTGTTTAAGATATTGGCCGTATGGTCTCTTTCAAGAAATCTCGACCTGGCTACCTGAGATTACCCACAGTCCTTGTTTTATTATTTTGTTTTTATCAAACTACAACTGACAAACGTCTTACCCCCAGAAGGATGTTAGCAACATGGCTTAGAATTGACAGACATGGTTATCAGAGGATATATTTAATTCATCCAGCACCATCAATAGGTCAAATACCTGCAGAAGCAATACATTGCTAACTTCCCCTGCTTTGTTTTCTAGTGTTTATTAGCAATTGTTAGCAAATACTGATGGGTGAACGGATTGTTTTTGCATTGCAATGTTTGAATACAATTTCAGAAACTAAAGCTAAATCACTACTTAATAAGTCATGTTTTATGTAGCTTTCAAGTTTGCCTGAACGTTAATAAATCACTCCAAAAAAACAGTGGTATGCTAAATAAAATACTGCACATTTCAACTGAGCTCCTGGGGCTCCTGGGGCTCCAAGGGCTCCTGGCCCTTTTAGCAGTTTTCCAGATGTTATTTTGCATTAAATGTCTCCACGCATAACCCACCTTTTCAAAGCCCTGCTCCACGACTGTCATATTTGGGTTGAGCTGATTGTGAACACGCGGTTCGTTCACAGCTTTCTTTAGGTCATAGTTGAAGAACAAGGAATTCAGGATGACCTGTTTCAGTCAGAAAACATTTTAAAATGTTAAATAACTGACTGTGTCTGCTGGATGGCGTGTGAATGAATCAGACTTACTAATGCAGTGGCTGTGGTGATTTTTGTACCACCAGACGCTCCTACAACCATTTTGACTTTGTTTTCTTTGTCGAAGATGATAGTAGGACACATGGAAGACAGCGGCCTTTTGCCTGCAACAGATAGAAAAATAGGGCTACAACTGCTTAAAGCTGGGGTTGGAAGTTTTGGGGGAAATGCAAAACAAACACACACAAAATACAGCCCTTTCTTCTCTGTCCTAAGCCCCTCCCAGACAAGCACTGTCAAATGTGAAAGTACTAGTTATTTGTTTCATTGCAAACAAATGGGTCTGAAGCCTTTTACAATGACATGTTGTAATTTGAGGCTCAAGCTAGCCACATAGCCGCAGCCTGGAGCATTTGGTTAACAATTAACAGAAGTAAAAACTATAACTAACATTTTCTCTCAATCTATAACATGCTTTGCCGATGTTGACACAAGTTTTATTGAGTTTATTGTATTTCAAAAGTGACCTGTGATTGGTAAAAGTTACCCTCAAAGGCGAGATTTTCTAAGCCTGAAAACAGATCCAAAAGGAGATGCAGCAGGCTACTTTTCTTTCAAACCTCTCAATGCTAAAAGGTTATTATATAGTTTTCGCCCAATTAGACCATTTTACACCATTACATTTGAACTTTTACCTTGGATTTACCATTGATTGAATTATTAATATATTTAATAATTAATAAAGTCAATTTTGAAAGCTTAAAACAGCCACAAGAATTTGACAAAAAAAGACAAATGTTCTATCAGCAGGGTTACACAGTTGGAATCGGCTTATGCTTTAAAGTGTAAGAAGAGGAGGCTGATAGTGAGCTTAAGATATCAGTGTTCGTGACACTGACAAATCCAGGAACAATAAAAAGGCTGGTGAAAGCATCAACTCTGCATCATCCCCAACAGAGAAAGAGTCAACCTTTTGTGGTTGTGAAAACATGTTTTTGTTTTTAACACTGCTATCCACCAACGAAGATGGTGTAGAATTTTTAGCCTAAACCATTGATTGGTGTAAAACAAGTGTGTTAACTCAGTCCAGCCACACCTGGTTGAATGAAGTTGTTTGGTGATGGAGGGATCCCAAACCCGTTGGTCATGTGTGGCGAACTGAAGTCGTCCATTTCATCGTTGAAAATGATTCCAGTTGATCTCGACATGACTTTGGAACCAAAGCTGGAGAAATAAAACGGCTTTTCAATAGTTATTAACACAAACATGTCACAGATGATAATCAACAAGTGTTTTCTTTCTGACAGGCAGTTTCAGGAGGAGTAATAATAATCCATTAGATGTATTACTGCACTATCCAATGCACCCAAATGTGCTTCTCTGAAAACTTCGTACTATAAATTAATGGTGCTGGTGGCCGCCACAGCGCTGCCGTCCTCAGCTATGACCGACAGGTGAGCCGTCCCGTGGTCGTCTGGGACAAAGTAGTCCGGCTCATAGTAGCTGTCTGGGTGGGTGGTGTCGTCTGTAATTTTACTTCTTATGCCATCAGCAAAGTAGTCTGAGGTCATGTTTAGGATGAGCTGAGGAGAGAAAAACAAGTCTGTCTCAGAGCAGCAGTTCCCTGAGAGTTTGATTGAAAAATCCTAAATGGCAAACAACAGCAGTTACAAAACGGTAATAGTAACTGTAATAATTTGAAGAAGAAAATATAATCAACTTTGAAATTACTCTAGCTAAAATGATTTATTAATACTATTAGTTTTAAGCATTATCTTTAATCCTACTGGAATTGCATTTTAAACATTAGGCAATCCCATTTTCAGCATTATTTTTTATATTGTTACACATTTGTTTTTTATTTTGTTCTACTTTTAATACAATGCACAAATCTTTTCATACTTAATTCTAATTTCTAATGTTCTCATAACTTCGCTTTGTTTATATATATATATTCTTATTTTTAAATGAAGCCATTATAACTTGACCCAATTTCCCCCAGGAGATCAATACATTATTTCTGAATCTGATAACAAATGCACATGGTGCCCCTGACCAAACTGCACTGTGGCAAGTACAATTCAACTGTGAAGCCAAAAAGCTCCAAAATAAATCTATGACGCGTAACAATAAAACAAAAATAAAGGCTTACATCGGTAATATTTAGATAACGTGGGTCCCCGAGTCTGCTCCTCTTGGCATAAGCAAAACGAAAAGCCTCTACGATTCGATGGTACGTCAGAGTCTTTTTCTCAGCTGTTGACACACTTGTGCCTGTGAAGTTGTACCCTGCAAAAATAATATGAGGAAAAAACGTCTCTGCATTTTATAAAGAATCACATTATCTTTGCTTAATCAGTTATTGAGTCCTCTGTATCATTATGTTAATAATTCATTTCAGTCAGTGTCAGTGGCAGGTCATTAAAACTGGGAACTCTTAATTCGAATAACAGAAAAGCAATACAAATATGGGAACATTCCTACAGATTCATTTATGAACACATTAAATATTTCCCCAATTGGAAATTAATGATGCCACTCTTTATTTAAGGCATGACTAAAGATGGTCTGCCTGAACAGATTGGGTGTTGATGGTGAATTAAATTTGGCAAACAGAACAGAGTCGTAGCTCTGTTTTCTGCTTCCAAAAGAGGCGGAGAAACATTCTCAGGGACGACCTGAGGAAACCTGACATCCTTTCTTCTACATGGCTGCACAAGTACTTGGCCAAGCTCCTCACCCTCCACTATGTTGAGTATGAGTGCCAGCACAGGGCCACTGGAGGGGGCGTCTGGGACATGCATGGTGTATTCCCCCACGTTCAGCTTGAGAGGATTCTCATTAAGCACAGGCTGGTACTCCAACAAATCCTCCAGGGTGATAATGCCTCCTAGAACAAGCACATAAGTGTCAGGGTGAAATTAAACTAAGGAATAATGCTCAAATGACAGTAATTGTGGTATTTCCAATTTCCAGGTCTTACAGTATAAGAACTAATAAATAGTTTGAATCTATCTATAAACAGAAAAATGAACAAGAATTAACATAACACCTGCTGCCTGGATGTCCTCGACGATGATCTGTGCCATTGACCCGTTATAAAACACGTCAGGCCCCTCCTCTGCTATTCTTTGGTACGTCTCGGCCAGCTTTGGAAATCTAACAATGTCGTTTTCCTTCAGTATGTTTTTTTGAGAATCACAAAACACCTCACTGGAAGATGATAAAAGAGAAAGAAGAAAACCAGTTAAGTTTTAGTGTTTTGTCAATAGAAATGTTTAAATGTCCGGCTTTGGCAACCCCAAGGGGTAGCATAAAAAAGTCACGCTGGCAAACAGACAATGCACCCCTCTACCTCTCTACCTAGGACTGCACCAAGCACTGTATGTATATCACTATAGACAATTGTCTCCATAATAGTCAGATTTTTCAAGAAACATACAAGTTTCCTACACAGAATTTGCCAAGATTTTGGAAATCCTGCATATAGTTTTTTTTTACAGAGAATTAAATGAATAGATTGATAAAAGTTGCTCCATTAAACGTTAATCTACCATTGATGATGTTTCCCCCTCACCACATGTTGGCGTCTCCTTCAATGGAGTCTTTGCTCTTGGAGATAGCATGAGCCAAAGCTTTTCCAATAGGAAAGCCATCTCGAGCCAAGGCAATGCTTGGCTCAAACAGGTCCTTCCATGGCAGCCTGCCATGCCTCTTGTGGGCCATCTCGTAACCACGGATCTCCCCAGGAATTGCTATGGACAATCCACCTGTCATGTAGAAACAGCAGCACCACTATTTTACTTTTTAAAAGGTATTTTTTTCAGTCAACTGTCAGACTGGTAGACCAGAATAAAAACAACTCTGTAACCAGAAGCATGCTCAAGGGAAGAGAAAGGTTGTTAAGCATGAAGGAACATAAGTTGATGGATAAGTTGGAAACTCAAATATGAATCTCTCGTCTGATACAACGTGAGAGTCATGTAATATTAGATGAAAAATCTTTAAAGTTAGCAGTCCACATTTTTCTCCTCTCTGCCTAGGAAATACTCAAAACAGCTTCAGGCTAGTACCTGTACGGGAAAGCTTTGTGTTGTTGCCAAACATGTCTTCTGTGGCGTTCATGGGGGCCGTTTCCCTTGCATCAATGGTTTCTACCTTTCCTGTTGAGCAGAAGATTAGGATAAATAGCAGATTGTGTTTCTTCTCAGTTAACTGTTTTTGTTTGTTTGGACTAATAATGCACACTTACCTGTGGCAGCGTCATAGATGACAAAAAATAGCCCTCCTCCGATGCCCATGCTGTGAGCATTCAGAAGACCGACACAAAGCAAGGCTGCGATAGAAGCATCCACGGCTGACCCATTCTTCTTTAAAATGTCCCTGCAAACACAAGAATACACTTAGTAGAAGCATGGACTCACCTATAGACATGTAGATACACAGTATACCGCTGTGTCACAGTTGGAAAACAAAAGTCTGAATTGCTGTACCTTCCTACTTCTGAACACTTTCCAGCATCAGCAGCCACAGCAGCCTTTGAGTAGAAGTGGTCCAGGGGAGGGGGAGTGTTTTTCTTCCCCAGGCCCATGAACACCCCCAGGAACAGGCTCACTGCGGCCACCACAAGGACCACCAGACCTGCAATCAGGGACTTCCCAACCATTGTCCTGCTCAGGAAATCAAACAGAATTTCTCAGAATCTAAACTGTTGACCTCTTCTGCAAAATTGACATATAATGCAAGGCGAGGAAGACAAGGCAGGCCAAGTGTATGCAATACAGTTCAACACAAGGTAATTCAAAATGCTTTACAACATATACAAAAATATAAAATCATTAAAAGCATTGTGATATGGTGTGACAGACGTTAAATACATTTAAAGCAGTAATTAAAAAGTCCAGAAAATAAATCAAAATAAAACAGACTGTGGGGTCTGAGTGCTTTTTAAACCAGCAGTAGTATAACTAAATTCTCTGACAGACCGGATGCCATTGTAAGACCTCAGAAATGAAGTGGACTCGAGCAGCACTTTTTATCTTCAGTAGACAAGTCGAATTAATACTGCCTACTGCCATAGATATTAACATTACTACCCAACAACACGTTGAAGTTGACAATTGGACAAATAAACAATTTCACCCTTGTGCCTTTACGCACAGCTATTATCAGCAGTAAATCAAGTAAACGGCGAGAGTAAACGGCGAGAGAAAACGGCGAGAGTAAACAGCGAGAGAAAACGGGACGAAAAAGCACCGTCGTCTTATTATCCACCGTCACAACAAAACCTAAAGAAAACCTACGCTGAGGAAGTGAAGAGTCGTAACGTCTCATCAGCTGAATATTAGGAGTGATCAAATCTGGATCTGCTATGTCTGGAGATACATAGCCAAGAGACTTGGCATTCAGAATGTCCTCCATCTTCTGTAAGTACAGTCTGGAGCACAGTTTTGCTCACCGTCTGCCCCTGTAGTACAACTCTGAGAGCAACATCACGGGAGAACTCGGTGTATTAAAGCAAAACGTGATCTGCTCCCTGGCTCCCCAAATGAAGTTTGTCAGATAGCTCAAAGAGTTTGCCTCTTTTGGCAATGAAGCGCAGACGAGACATCAGAAAGGCGTTGGCGTCAAGACTTTCTAGGAGGTCTAAGTGCAGGCATTTGTAGAGTATGCACCATCGCTTCTCTGTCGGCCTTCTAATCTTAACAGGGAAGGGACCAAAACAGTCTACGCCGCTTGAGTAAAAAGGTGTCTTACACAGACGTCGACAAGCCGAAGGAAAGTCTGCCATCTTGGGTACAGAAGGCGTGGCTGGCACTGCATGCAGGTGTTCTGATACCTCTTGATTGCTTCTCTCCCCGCAGGATCTAAAACCTGTGACGCAGTTCAGCCAGCACCTTCTCTGGGCCAGGATGAAGGAGCATCTCATTGAAGTCTTGGATGATAAGCTTAGTCAAAGGATGTTTGGGATCTAACCAGACGGATGAATGGAATCTGACTTCAGCCGCTCAGCTCTTCGCAATCTCCCTCCAGCTCTGATAAGTCTTGTCTCCCTATCATACTCAATAGACAGAGAGCCCAAACTACTGTGGGTTGGTAGGGAATGATCAGACCTTAGGGCTTTGACCTCATACTGTATAGGAATGACTCCAACTGCGTAGAAGGAGATTCTCTGATTTGATGTAGTTAGTAGGCGGCTTCATCAGGTGAGCTAGAGCTCAGATCGACCGCCCCATGTAGGGACTAAGTAGTTGATATCAGGGAGTCAAACAGATGGGCTGACAGTCACATATCCACAGAAAGCTGACTTTCGCTGTCCTCTAGTTCTGGATGGGCTGAAGGGCTGGTCGGCCATTGGTCTTTGGAGTGACCGAGAACTCAGGGCCTTGGCGCCAGCGATGTAGCCCAGACAGCTCCTTCAAGGTCTTGCTGATGCCGTGTAACGGGTTGTTCACGGTATTTACACACCGTTACAAACAACCGAAAGTAAACATATTGCCAGCACGCAGGCAGGGCTTCACCGTTGACATCACTCGCATGTAACGGACCAAATCACTGCGAGCATTAATGATTGAAACATATATCATCAACAAACAGACTTATCAGCTTACAATGTAAAACGTGTGGGCTTTTAACATCTTCTAGGTGCTTGAACTGGACCAATAGTTGTAAATATTTGTAAATGTGTGTTACCTTTGCATAGCCGTTAGCTTAATGAGTTGTTTTCCATCATATGAGCCAGTGGAGGCATTTAGATCTTAAAGAGAAGAGGCCCCAGGATGGAGCTTTGAGGAACCCCACATGTCATATTTGTCCTCTCAGATGTTTAGTTACTTATAGAAACAACTTATTTCCTGTCCTTTAAGTAGGATTCAAACCAGTTAAAAGTGTTCCAGAAGGTCCCACCCGGTTTTCCAGTCTGTCTAGTAATGTGTGGTGGTCAACAGTGTAAAATGCAGTGCTAAGATTTAATAATACTATCACTGAGATTCTGCCACTGTCAGTGTTTAAGTGGATGTCATAGAAGAGCAGTCTCAGTGCTGTGGTGCGGTCTACGATTTGTGTATCCCGCATGTGATTTTCTCCAAAAATGTAATGGGTTCTTCTTTAGCCAATGCTACACCCTTTCACCATGATAAAAGACAATTGGGCCAGTACTGCTGACAACCAGTCAGGCAAACCAAATAAAAAAACATAAAGCCCAAAAAACAACAATCATATTTTTTTGTCAGAAAGGGAGAACCGGAGGTGGACTTACCTTCGCTGGAGACTATTGGTGAAAAAGAAGGGAGAAGAAAGAGTTGGCTAACTAAGTGTGTGTCAACAGTAATGACAGGGTGTTTACCATGACCAGCTTCACTCATTGGTGATGATGTGAACATGATGTGTCATCTGAGATCACGTGTCACAATGGATAATAAGCATGTGCTTTATTTGCACATTTTTATGAAATGTATAGACAGAAAAACATGCAGATAGAAAGTTATAGAGGACCTGGAGAGAAAGTATGGAGGAAGATTGGGTATTGGAGGGTAAAGGCCATGAAAGCTTTCTTCTGTAACTTATACATGTACATGGGTACACAAGCAATGACGCAATAACGTATTGTGTGTTTTAGGGTATAAGGGGTTACATTGATGATAATACAAAAAACAAACAGATGCCTCCCTTTCCTCACTTTGAAGTGAACATCTTGAGTTTTTCTTCCACTCGCCTATAACTTCCATTTCACTCTGATATCTATCTGGCAGGCTACGGCAAAATTAAGGTGAGAGTGATTCGTTTACAGATGCCGGCAGCCTTCATTCCGACTCGGGGCTGTGTGTGATTGGCTCAGCCGGTGTTGCCATGCTCAGTGGCCGTGTCACAGTCTATTTGGCTTATTCTGCAGGCGTCCTCTGAGCAATTGAGATGCCTGAACCTTCTCCCGGCAGCGTAGGTCCAAGCTAACTGGCAGAGACAGGAGCTTCTCAATAGCACATACCCTTCTGTGCTGCCTCAGCTAATCCATTGTGCACTCCTGTGGCCCACTCCTAAAAAGCACTGTCAAAGGAGCCTGTGGGCTGCTGCTGTGTACAAATCTAATCACTACTATCCTGTTCTGGATCTTCCAGGTTCAGAGCCGCCCCAAGGAGGAGAGTTTATCTAATGGACAGACCTGACTCATAGCAGAAGACAGCAATTATATATCTGTCTATTGCTGATCACAAAAGCCTTCCTTCAGCCTTTGAGCGCATGTCACTGCAAGAGGGTTGCTTTATGAAATATCAGCTGGAGCTTGTTCATATGTTTGTCCCTCAGCTAGAGGTTTAATTTTGACTTTACTCTGAGGGATGCAGTCCTACCCACCAGGCCTCCTTCACATTATTTTCTCACAATAAAGGAGAAGGATTGTACTCGGCAGCAAATCAAATCACATGCTGCTGTTGTTCCTCAGTGACAGGTGAAACGCAGCATTCAGAAACACATACAGTGGAGAGATGGCCAACGTTGGAAAAGGAGGTGATGTCATGTGTTGTTAATGGTAGGTGCACTTCTTTGATTATAAGGAGTCACAAACTGTGTATGAACTACAAGATGGAAATTCAGCATATTTTTCTTAGCAGTGAAGGACAGATTTATTTTTAGATACACGGTTGTGAAATACATATCTTATATCCCAATGGTACCTCAAACTTGTTTGCATGTGAACCCTTCAAATTCAAGTTGTTTGCACATGATTGTTGAGATCAGATCATTATTTAGTGCGACATTGTTTTACACCCTAATTGCATCTGCTTTCCTTTTGATGTTCTGCATGATTTGAAAGGTCATGAACATTTTATTTTAGTTTCTGCTGTTGTCATTTTGGTTCCTTATATGTTGATACTTCATAACCTGACACTTGCTTTTTGTTTCCTTATCCTGTAAATTAAGTATTCAAGGGCTAGTGACTCTCAAGAGATGTATCTTAAAAAGAAAGGTCAAAATTGTAATATTCTTACCTGAGTCTCTAGTTTAGTTCATCTCCAATAAGGGTGAATTATTAAGCTCCTATAATACAACTTAATAACATCTTTCATCAAATCATGTTTCCTCCTAAATGTCTACATTTGTTTTTAAACCCCAAACCTCTAGTTTGTAGCACAGGTTTTCTGATAAAAGGCTTTAAACTGAAGCCAAGATGTTTTCTCCCTCCAGAACTACAGGATTGTTTACAGCTTTTTTTACAGACTCAGTAATGCACTGAGTAGTGCATCTGTAAAAGCGGTGCACCCCCTTAAGCATCTCAAAAACGCCAGATACTTTACACTATCCAGTTATATATCATAACAAATGTTTGACATGAAGAAATATAATGATTTCAGAATGCATAAAGCAGGAAAGACCATTATGTTTAGCATGTGTTGTTAAATTAGTTATTTTTTCAGCATTGCTTGGAGAGTCAAAGCTTTGACAAACAAATTAGTAGCATGGGGCTGATATATTGGGTTGTACATTGAATTAAAGGCACCATGACAATCATTAGTAGAACCTCTAGGAAAATAAGCCGGGGAGGATATAGGGCAGCCAGGGATAATATTTATTAGACAGCATCAACCGCCCTGCTCCACTAAACAAGGGCACGCCTAGATCGGGTTTAAGTCAAATCAGGACAAAAGTCCTAAAGACAAGATGATGGGACCT